AAGAGGCCCTACAGTGCTTAGACAGCACGAACAAGAAAAATACCAGACCTCTTTTACCTAATATTCACAAGTAAGGAAGGGGAAAACTATCTAAACGTGAAATGTCCAGAATAGGCAAATCCACAGAGACACAAAGTAGATGCATGGTTGCCAGGGGCTGGGGGGAGTCGGTGCATCTACGAATGGGAACAGGGCTTCTTGGGGTGATCAAAGTGTTCCGGAATTGGATACTGGGGATGACGGCACATTCTGTGAATATACTAGAAACCACTGAACTGGACACTTTAAAGGGGTGAATTTTATGGTATGTGAATTATATTTCAATTTAAAATCTAACCAAGAATATTACAAAGTAACTGTTTAAGATGGTTCCATTTGGGTTTGGTTAATTCGTGACATTTATACATAGTGTCATACACTTTAAAATGTAAGACTGGGGCTTCCCTGGTGGCGCAGTGGTTGAGAGTCCGCCTGCCAATGCAGGGGACGCGGGTTCGTGCCCCGGGCCGGGAGGATCCCACATGCCGTGCAGCGGCTGGGCCGGTGAGCCATGGCCGCTGAGCCTGCGCGTCCAGAGCCTGTGCTCCGCAACGGGAGAGGCCACAACAGTGAGAGGGCCGCGTACCGCAAAAAAAAAAAAAAAAAAAAAAAAATGTAAGACTAAAACCAAAAGTGGATATGCCTGATGCTGTGGGCAGTGCCTGACACATGAGGGGACAGTAAGATTTCTTTGTAAGAACAGCACATGCTCACAGAGAAAACAACAACAACTAGACACGGGGGTAACGTGTAAAGAGTAAGTACCAGATTCCGGGACTGCAACCACCCAGAGGCAGACGCTCCCCTGGGTGTTCAGTGCGACTGTGCAGATGTCCAAAAATAGCAAAGGCACACAGAGGAAAACCTGTCTCTACACAAGCTGTGCTGTACATGCAAACTAACCTACAGCTTTTCTTTCGTCACCTACAATGTATCCTGGGCACTTTTCCACATCAGCATGTAAAGATGCACTTCATTACTGTGAAGGGCTGCACAGCACTCCACTGCATGGTTTACCAGTTCTACTCATGGCGAGCTAGGTTGGTTTTGGTTTATATTATAAACAAACTGCAGTGAGCAATCCTGAATGCATCTTTGTACATTTAGGCAAGCACACAGCAACACAACTGCTGGGTCAAAGATGATGTGCGTTTTAAAATACATAATCACCGCTCGGGATTTCCCTGGTGGTGCAGTGGTTAAGAATCTGCCTGCCAATGCAGGGGACACGGGTTTGAGTCCTGGTCCGGGAAGATCCCACGTGCCACAAAGCAACAAAGTCTGTGCGCCACAACTACTGAGCCTGCACTCTAGAGCCTGCGAACCACAACTACTGAGCCTGCATGCTGCAACTACTGAAGCCCGCGTGCCTAGAGCCCGTGGTCTGCAACAAGAGAAGCCACCGCAATGAGAAGCCCATTCGCCGCAACTAGAGAAAGCCCGCGCACAGCAACAAAGACCCAACACAGCCAAAAATAAATTAAAAAAGAGTGTGTATATATATATATATATACATACACATATAAATCACTACCAAACATCTTTCTAAAAAGGTTGCCCATTGTATACTTCCTCCAACAGTTAGTAAACTAATAAACATTATTTTAGAGGACAGTAGCTCATTTCACTCAAACACTGATGCTCCCAACTTTGTTTCGGCCACAGCCGGGTTTTCTGGAGGGCACTGCTGGCCTTGTTGGTGAGCACATCTCAGGTTCTTCTGCAGAGCTGTCGGCAGACACCGCCACGCCACACTGGAGGGCACACCCGCCGGCCTGCTCCACGAGTGGGAGAGCCCTTCTTCAGGTGAGCAACTCTGCAGAGGTTTGCCAAACCAACCACATTTTATTTCAACAGATAGCCGGTCACCTACAACGTACACAGCTCTGTGCCTCGCGTGCAGGGCACAGGGAGGAAGGAGACTGTCCCACCCTTAGGGGCCTCTGTGGGAGTCGTGAGGAAGGTGAGCCCTCCAGGGTTAAAAGGTACGAGCGGCGGCAGATGCCGAGAAACGCCACCTGAGAGGTTACAAAGGGCTGCGGACCTTCAAAACAGGAGGCTAGCACCTCTGTTTGGGGGAGATGGGGGGTTTCCTGAGTGGGATTTGTGGTATGATTCCAATTCTAGCAGAGGAGGAGAGAAGGAGGGCAGGCAGACACAGCACCGTTAGCTGGTTGTGGAGGGGAACCGGGAACGGGGGGCTCTGGGGAAGGAGCCGGACAGGCAGGGCATCCGGTCCTGAGGGGTCTGGGTGGGAAGGACGGCCTGGTGCCCCTTCCCTGAGGCAGATCCTTGGGCACAGCTTTTGTCCCCTGGGCCTCACTTTTTCTGTTCCCGTGAAAAAGTGAAAAAGAATTACTACCCCTAATTCTCATGGCATTAACAGGAGTCACTGATATATTATACAGAGGATCCCTCTACAAACTCTGCAGCACTATACAGAGAAGATACACCCTCCTCCAGCTGGGGTCAGGAAGTCTTATGGGATCGCGCTGTTTCCTCATCTTAGACAGCTCAAAGCCTCTTTGAAAAGCCTCTTCTCAGCAATTAGGCAAGAAAAAAAGAAATAAATGGCATCCAGATTGGAAAG